TTTAATGTGTTAAACAGCAGTACAATTCTATGGTTGACACGGTTTTAAAAAAAAATGGAATATAAGAATAGCTGTTTTGTATTTCGGTGACTGATTACGCTGTATCTTAACACGATGTATGTCTGTTTTTTGTGGTGCTCTAGTGGTAAATAAATTATTTCAATTACACGTCCCTGTGTTTTCCCTGCCGTGGCACCGTCCCTGAGACTAGTCAATGACAACGGCCTCAAGCAGCCAGAGCCAGACCATCTTTAGGACGGCGCTTTTCTTCCCTCCAGGACCCTCACTTCAGAAACAGCCAGGCCTTATCTATCCCGCGCTGGAGAAAGCCCTGTGCGGCCTTTGTAGTCTCTTGTTTATTGCTCTTTAGTGATGGTTTGAGATTTTGTTTCCATCCAGAAAGAAAGGAAAAAAAATAAAAAAAAAAATGCAGAGAGATGTTTGGACCACGCTTTGGCTTTCTGGTTCTGCCAACCCCGGGGCCAAAAGAACTGGTCTAGACAGGATCCCCTGTAGCCCCATAACTCGGGTAGCTGCTGAGCCAGCCAGATACAACAAGGGCCTGCTGCTCGGGGCGGGTCTCGGGGAGCTGCCCCCCGCCCTTCGCTTCACCCACAGGCTGCCCCAGGAAAGCCCTCTCTCCACACATTTCCTCGGCTGTTCCCGGCAAGACCAGGCCTCGCAGGGGAGCTGCCAAACTCTCAGCACATAAGCACTAATGAAAAAGTAGCCGTGGCTCCATCCGGTGGACCCGCTTTATCTAATGTGAGGGCTCAGTCCCGCCTGTGGTCTGGACAAACCGTGTTTGGGGAGGACAGAAACCGGTCCCTGTTCCTGCAGCCGTGTTTCCACTTCGGGGCTCAACTCCTAGGCAGGGGAAGTGTCTCACTTGGAAACAGCTCACTCGTGTTTCCCTGCGGAGGGCCCGGCCCAGGCCGGTGACCTCGGCCCTGTCACCTCTGGGTGCCGAGCGAGACTAGCCGGGTGTCAGAGGGTGATGAAGAGCCGTCCGACAGCTGTTTCAACGTAGGCAGATTTGTCAGTCACTCTGAACCTCTGTCTCGTCATCCACCTGCTTCCCAGGTTTTTGCGTGCTAAGCTGTTCCGTTGTTAAGTGAATGGACATAGGAAAAGCACTTTGCTTCGGGTTTGGCCTGCCCTCGATGATCGGTAAGTGGGAGTCTTAACCCTGTTTCCCAACCTGTTCCGTTCTCGGCTT